CGAAAAGATTCCCAAACTCCAAACTAAACGGGCTACCATCGTGTTCGTACTGACTCGGGGACAGTCAGTCCTACAGGACCGAGCAGATCTGCCCCTTTTGGTTTCCAAGGCCGTGAATCTTCACAGGGGCAGAAAGCCTCATCTTTCTCCTGGGTATTGGCTTGTGGGCTTGAACTGCTGACCTTGTGGTGAGCAGCTCAGCTTGTCATCCACTAGGCCACCAGGGCTCCCAGTGAAAGGAGTATCTCCATGTGCTAACAAGGATCAAGAAGTCAGTGCGGGGTGCCAGGGTCACAGTTCAGGCTGCTGTTCTCCTAGTGCCCGAGACCAAAGGGAAACAGGACAACTCATGGCCGGCAAGTCAATGCCGACTGGCAGCAACCCCACAGACAGCAGGACCGGCCCTGTGCCTTTCCCAGACGGTAACTCTTTACGGGAGTAGAAAGCCTCCTTTTATCTCCCATGGAGCGGCTGCTAATTTTGAACTGCTGCTCTTGTAGTTAGCAGCCCAGTGTATAACCACCTGGCCACCTGGGCTCCTCAGTGCCTGAGAAGGTCCCCTAGAGCCTGACCTTGTACAGGTCTGCTCATCAGGTGCAGTCCCACCCAGGGGAGATCCTAGAGGTCCCCCTCCCTGACACACATCCCAGCCTCTGCTTCTGAGCAGACCTCCCCCCTCTGCCAGGTCCAGGGATCCGATGCTCTTTGGAAGGGAACAATTCGGCACCGTCTGGAGGGAGGGAGTCAACATGGTTGGTCAGCCAGTGCCACCAAAGCATCCAGCCACCCAGATTGGTCCCTGGCCCCTGGGCAGGCAGAGGGATGAGTCAATAGACAGAAGGGAGCCCACAGTCAGACCCTGTGCCAGGTGCCTTCCAGCATCTTCCCAGCCATCCTCCCCACAACCTTCCTGAGGCTCCAGAGGAGACGCTTGAGGAGAAGCAGGCAGGCCATGAGGCAGGAAACCCTGATCCCCAGGTCAGTGCCCCCCAAGCAGCATCTCTGTGAGCACCAGCGCTCCAGGCTCTAGGCCTGCACCAAAGCACCGCTGATTTCCCAAGGGCCCTGGGCAGCTGTCCTTTTGCTCTCTATGGCATTTCTAGCCTATGGCCACTCAGATACCCCGAGATGGGGAGGCCTCACCACCCCAAAGCCAGCAGTCACGTTGCTGTTAGGAACCACCGGGTCTAGTCTGATTCCCGGAGACCTCTTATGACGGAGCCGAGCTGCCCGTGACGTTGCCGTCCTTCTTGGTTTACGCCCTGGGCTGTGATCTGCAAGGTCTGCAGTTTGAAACCACCAGCTGCTCGTTAGGAGAAAGACAGGGCCTTCTACCCCAGTAAGCAGTCACAGCCCCAGAATCTCAGAGGCAGTTCCACCCTGACCTTCCAGGGCCGCTGTGAATCAGAATTGACTCGATGGTGAGCTTCAACCTTCGTTTGCAGCCAAGCATTTAACTTTTGTGCTCCAGGGCTCCTTACACAGCCCCATCTCCAGCCAGCTGGCCGCACGCAGGTCCAGCTCGCTGGCCTGTGTGGTCAAAGGCCTTCAGGTCCCTTGCTCTTGTGCTAGCACTCCAAGGCCTGAGGCCAGTGTCCCTCCCTCCAACTGAGACTCAGCCAGAGTGGGGAGAAGGCTCCTGTCCCCAGGGCCACCTTCCTGGATGAGGCTGCTCTGGGATGAGGAAGAAGCTGGCCTGAGCCCTATGCCTCTGTTCCTCTGAGGACACCTGTCCTGGCAAGAACCAAGGCTTGTGGTTGCAGGCCTGCACCTTCACTCATCCTCAGCCCAGCTCTTTCAGGCGTATCTCGGAGGTGCTCATGCCGGACCACAGAGTGGAAGCAGGGCAGAGCAGACAGTGGGGACCCAGGACACTTGGGTCCTTGTCCTGGTTTTCTAAGTAGGTCTATGCCCCAGTTTCCAAAGAACTTCCCTCTGCTGGACCTGAACCGGCTAGCACAAGCACAAGGAAGAGCAAGGACAAGGACACGCCATACTTCCAGAGCTGCCCACGTCCTCGTGGCCTCGGTGACCCTGGGCTCTCGTCTCCACTCGCCCCGTAACAACATTTTGCATGAGTTGCGCCAGGCAACTCCCAAATCACAATGTGGACGGACCTGTGTTCACGCCATGGTGCTGATGCTGAGTGAGATGCTCAACCATCGCTCACCCAGGAGGAGGAAGTGGAGAGGGCACCAGGGCCCCACCTCAGGCAACAGTGCACTTAGAGCTGCTGACCGCTCAGGAAGCAATCTCTTCCCCTAAGCACTTACACAGCTTCTCCCAAGGCGGGCCTGTCCTGGGCCTTCCTGCACAGCAGCTCTGGGCCTGTCCTTAGCTCCTTGGTTGCCCCTCTGGCCCTTCCCTGGAAGAAGCTGTGGTATAGACTCAGAGCCTGGACCCATCTGAGCCAGTGGGGCGGATGCAGCCCTGGCTCCATTGTGCCTTGAAAACCAGCCCTTTACAGTGGTGGAAATCCTGATAGCCACTGCAGATGGCCAAAACACAAGCTGAAGTGGGCTGGGGTGCAGTCTGGGGACAGTCTGCCTTCCGAGCCAACAAGGGTGCCCCAGAGAGCAAGGGTAACCTACACTGAAGGGACAATGAGTTTCTCCACCAAGGCAGGAAGCAGATGGCTTTGACCTAGACCAGCGTCTCAGAAATAACACTTCCTGTCAGTAATAAACATTTGATAGTGTTCCAAAGCTCCTCCCCCTGCCCCCACCCATCTGGGGACGGTGTTTTCATTCCCAGCTGTCAGGTAGAGCAACAGACCGACTGCCAGAGTGCCAACCCACAGGGGGCCCTGGCCCACAAATAAGCCCTCTGCTCCCCAAGTCTGCTGCTCCTCCCCGAACCAGTGAGGTCTCCCCAATGCTGGGCCTACCTAAGCAAGCCTGGGGGGAGCGGGGTGGTACACACACGCGCACACACACCTATCCTTCTCTGGGTGCAGGGCTAGGAGGGGGGCAAACACACACACATTCTCCCTCTGGTGTGGCGAGTCCCCTCTCTGGGACCCCTCCCCCTTCCCCAGATCACCAGTGATGACCAGGGAGGGCCGTGCAGCTGAGGTGGCTGAGTTCACAGAAAAGTGGCCACTTGGGTGCCAGGAATACAATCACCCCCTTTCTCTCAGAATCATGTCCAGCCTGAGCCCCCATCCTGGGATGCCCTTAGAGAGATCACTGAGGCCCGAGACCCAGGTAGGTGTCTGCCCTCGGCTGTGCTCGGAATGGCGGGAAAGAGGGCAGCAGCAGTACCTGCTCGTGGGCCCGGACAGGCCATAGACACTCCATAGCCCCTGTAGGGCATGATGGGAAGACAGCAGGGTGATTCTGGCTCCCTGCTTCAAGCTTCTTGCTCCCCAAGTAACTAGAAACTGTGCGTCTTAAAGGGGAGTCACTCCCACCCTCACGTTTCAGGGCTGGGGCTGGGGCAGGGAGGGGAAGGGGAGAGGGGAGGCAGTTAAGTTCAGTCTGCCAGGGGCCAGGGAAGGCCGGAGCCCAGGAGCTCCAGCCTCTGCTGTTGTGAAGGTAAGGGACCAGGAGCACCTCGCTGTCCCTTCTGTGCCTCAGTTCCCTCGTGTGCACAGTGACAGTGGCTGGCTCCAGCTCTACAATGCTGCAACTCACCTCCTGCCTCAGTTTCCCTCTGGGGAAAGGCATTTGCCTCCGAAAGAGAGAGGAAAAGGTGAGTTCAGGAGTTCATGTCCACGACCAACAGAGCACCACTGTTTCTAATGCAATCCATCCGGGGACAGGGGACACAGATAAGCTGGTACCCATAGAGGAAGGGGGGACACTGTCCCTCTGGAGTTTCACAGGTCAGTACAGGACAAAGTCCACCTGCTGGGATGATCGGTACCACCCACCCCACCGCAGACTGGCCACTTCCACCAGCCTCCGTCAAGGCTGACACTTGGACAGAAGTGGGAACAGGAAGGTCCTAAGCCTTTTCTCTCCCCCACGCATCTTGTCCCCACCCCCACCCTCCACCCCCAAGGGTAGCAGGGTCCCCAAGTTCCTTCTGTTCCAACAAGCAAGTCCCTGCTGTCACCAGCCTGTTCTGATCTCAGTGTTCACACCCATGACACCCGAGCCCAGGGCCAAGCTGTGACTGCCGCCTCCTCATGGATGAGGAAAGGGGGTGTCGAGTGGGGAGGCAGAGCCAGAACAGCCCTTACGTAGCAGAGAGCAGAGGGCAGCCCAGCTCTGCCCACTGCTGAGTGGCCTTGGTCAAGCCACAGCACCTCTGGGCCTCAGTTTCCCCAGGACCGTGACCCAAACCAAAAGTTCCTCACTTAAGGCCAATGTGAGGCTGGAGTCACTGAGTGAGGGGGTGGGGCGGGGCGGGGCGGGGGATGGTGGAGTAAGCACCCGTTGCCTCTGGGGGCCCAGAAGGCCGGTCCACCAGGAATCCCAGACCCCCTTCCAGTTGGATCACAGCATCGACAGGCGTGGCCAAACGGGGTGGGGTGACGGTGGGGCTGACCTGGGGGAGTGCGGGAGGGGGCACCTCCTTCCTGTGCAGCCTTGAGAGTGGCAGTGCCGGGGGAATCCCTGGGTGGGGGTGGTCCTGAGAGGTAACTCCCACTTGGCTGTCAGGCAGGGAGCCAGCCGGCGCCCAGTGAAGATGAACCGACTCAGCCATCACCCTCTGGGGCAAGGGGGTGGGGGTGGGCTCAGGCCACCCTTCGCCGGGTACAAGCTGGGGGCGAGCCGGCCCGGTGTGATAAGGGACTGTGGCGCAGTCACCCCCACCCCCACATCTCCGAGTGCGAGGTTCCCTCGGGCTCCTTCCACTCACACCCCGCACCCCGCCCTCCCCAGGCCCAGAGTCCGGATTCTGCGCCCCTTCTCCGGGCCGGCTCAGCGCGGCTCCTGCCCCCCACCCCACCCCCACCCCCATCCCCACCCAGCGTGCTCACCACATCTGCGCCCTCGGCGCCTCGGCCCCTGGCTCCAGACCGCCGGTGCCACGGGCGACACGCTCCCTACCTGGGAGGAGACTGCCAGCGGGGCGTCCGTCTGCTCCCCCCCCTCCTCCTGCTCCTCCTCACGGCCCCACCTGGTCAGGGACTGTCAGCAAATTCCCCTCCGCCTCACCGGGGAGCGGCGTCCCGGCTCCTCCCCAGCAGGAGCCACCTCGGCCCCGCCCCGCGGCTGCTCGGACCCGGGGGGCACCCGGGCTGGAGGGGAGGATCGGCGGCTCCGCCCCCAGACCGGCTGGCTGCCAGGAACCATCTGCAAATTACCGTCGCCGCGAGCACACCGCGGCCGGTCGCTGGCTGCGGGCTCCGCGGCACCCACGGAGGCGCTGGCCTTCCTGGGTCTCGGCAGCTGTCTCCGGCTCTCTGCCCACCAGATCCCTCCCCACCCACACCCCTGGCTCTCCTGGGAGGAATGCCTCCTCCCGCGTCCCCCGACCCTCACCAGACAGGAACAAGGAAAGACACACAAGCGCACAGAGGGAGCATCCTAGTCTGGCCTGGGGATGCCCAGCTCTGGTACCCAGCTCTGGCTCTTTCTTCCTGGGCAAGAAAAGGCCTACAAACTGGCCGCGCCTCTCCCCAGGCGCTTTCCTGCGGGCCATAGGCCTCCGCAGATCCATCCTTCTCGAAGCTGTCCGTGCCCCAGCGACGCTGCTAGACCCTGGGGGCAGGTGCCAGTGTGTGAACCCCCAAAAGATCAAGTCGGAACCAGAACTGTCCCCGGACCAGGCCGGTTTGTTTGTTGACTAAGCATTCTATGAGCTTGCAGAACAGGAAGTAGCTGATGGGGGGTGGGGGATCCAGTGCTCAGAACAGCCTCTGAACTCAGCTTCCTTTCAACAAGTTTTAGAATGGGAAGATATTGATCAAGAGCAAGATGATAAGGAGATAGAGGAGGCTGCGGTGAACACAAGGTCATCAGATGCCCAGAAGAGGGGGGGGGCCCTCTGCCCCTCCTCGCGCCCCCCGCCCCTCCCCCCCGGTGCCCCCCCCCGCCCCCCGCAAGGGATAGCTATGCTTTTACAGGTTGGTTGGCCTAAACCAACAAGTCCACCAGACCCCCACAACAGCACTGTCAAGCCCCTACCTACCCCAGGCACGGGTCTCTCAGCCTCCTTTCCCCCAGCTACTCCATGGAAACCCACGAGCAACCACTAAACGGATTCTGTTCATTTACTCATTCGTTCATTCATACGTGGTACTGGAAGCCTTGGGGAATGCCTGTTATGTACTGGCAAGAGACATCAGGCTGGGTTCCGGTCCTAGCTCAGCAGCAAATGTGCTGTGAAATCGTGAATAGCTAGCTCCCTTGACCTTTGTTTCTTGACTTTCATCTGTAATACAAGCAAGAAGCCCTGATGGCACTGTCAGGTGAGTATCAGACTGCTGACTGAAAAGTCAGTGGTTCAAACCAACCAGCCACTCTGAGGGAGAAATATGAGGCTGTCAGCTCCTGTAGTGATTTACAGCCCTGAAACTCTACGCAGCGATGCTGCTGTGGTGTAGAGTCAACTTAATGGCAAGTGGGTATAATAAAAAGGACTGGTTTACATGAAATAACAGCAATCATACATAACTGATCAAGGATTCGGGGAGGGAGGGGGGAAAGAGGAGCTGTTACCAAGGGCTCAAGTAGAAAGAAAATATTTTGGAATTGTTGATGGCAACATATGTACAAGTGGGTTGAATACAATTGAATGAAGGATTTTCATAAGGTTTTTACGAGGCCCCCCCTAAATGATTAATTAAAAAAGAAAAGGACTAGTTTAGCTGGAGTCCCAGCGGCATCATGGTTATGCATTCAGCTGTGATCCACAAGGTAAGCAGTTCGAAGCCACCAGCCACTCTGAGGGAGAAAGATGGGGCTTTCTTCTCCCAGGAGCAGTGACAGTCTTGGAAACTCACAGGGCAGTTCTACTCTGTCCTATAGGGTCGCTATGGGTCGGCATCGACTCGATGGCAGTGAAAGCCTCTCTGGACCTAACCCTTGACGACTCTTTCTAGGTTAAAGGCTGGTGGGTATCAAGGTAAACAGGTTACTATGGGTAGTGCAGAACTCCTGTGTCTGTCTGGATTCAAATCCCCGCTGGGCCATGTAATTTGTGGCTTACTCTCTCAGAGCTTCTGCTTGTTTGCTTCTCATAGGTAAGCGGGGGAGAAGTAATAATAACTTGCAAAGGGTGGTCATGAGGATTAGCGGAAATATTGCATACAAAGTAAATATTAGCGATCATCACTGTTGTGTTTCGGGGTGGGGGGAGCAGGTTAAAACGGGGACAGAAACAGCCCCCTCTTCCTGGGCTTCCTCCCCACACCATCAGTCCCTGACCCCAGGGCCAAAGAACCAAGGTTCTGGTATGGGGGGTGGGGGTGGGGTTGTTTCATGCCTGTTCTTTTAGAAAGACCATGGGCTTAAACAGGAAAACAGACAGACATAGTCTTTGGATCCAAAAGAACCTTGGTTCAAATCAGGCCCCTGCCTTGTCTTAGCTGTGTGGCCAGGGACACGTTCGTTGACTTCATTTCCACATCTATAAGATGGGTGCCAGGGGAGGGGGGTGCAGGCAGACAGGAGTCTATGAGTAGTCCTGATCTCACAGCGTGGCGGTGAGTATCAGGTGAGAGCATGCATGGAAGGGGCTTCGCAGAAGCCCTGGTGCAGAAGATGCCTGGTCAGCATCCATCATGTCCTGCCTGGAAGGACTTCGGTGGAGTAGAGGAGAGGCCCCACCACTGATATGCTCTGGCATCCTAATGGAGTGTCCTGTGAGGAGAGCGGATATTCCAACAACCCCCTCGCTCGCCCAGCTGCCATCCCTGATGCCGCCCCACCAGCCCTGACCATGCCCCGAGGTGGGGGCTGAGGCCAGGAAGGGAGGCTGGAAGCAGGTCTTGAAAGACGTCACACTAGGCTCAGTAGTTTGCAGGCTACTTTGTGGGCACAAAGGAACCCCAGAATGTGTTTGAGCCCCCCTCAAGGGATTGTTGAGCCTACAGCCAACCAGGTCCGGCGCCTGGAGGAGCAACCAGACAGATATTGAGGACATGCAGTAGAGGGAGGTTCAGCAAAGGAGGCAGGAGAACCCGTGAAAATGCCACCTGGGCTGGACAGGCATGCAAGAGATGGCCCCAGACAACCAAACACCAACGGCCACAGAAGGTGGGCAGGAAAGGTGCGTGGACATGACTCTGAGTCTTTGTGGCCTTGGAGGCTGCTGAGCGGAGACCCTCTGGTCTGCAGGTCTGGGAATCTTGTCATGCTCTCACTCCTGTGACGGGGTACGAGTGCCCTTGGCCTGGGTTAGCATCTCTGAAGACTGACCATTATTGTCTTCATTCTGCTTTGTCGTCCTCCAATGTTTTCTCTGGGAACCTAATTCTGATCATTAAAAAATAGTAATAAAAGCCTCTGACGGAGATAGAACTGTCTTACTGTCAAGACAACTCAAGTACTGTCTTCACATCGGGCACCCTCGATGGAAACCCACCCCCATTTACTCCGCACACAGTTTCCACAGACCCGGTGTGGAGAACACACCGCTAAGTAGCACTTTATAGCCTCTCCTTTCCCATTCCTTTTAACTTCCGAGGTTCAAACCTGGATTCAGGGCTCTGTTGCTACTTTCCATATCTCCCAGCCTCCCTTGCAGCTAGGTGGTATGGCATGACTGAGTCCTAGCCAATCGGATATGAGTGGGACACGCTTAACTACCTTGAGTGGTGCGTTAAGAGGAAGTTGCCTGCTCTCCCTTTTCCTCTTTCCCCTTTGTGCAGACTGGAAGTTGGATCTGGGCATGGAAGGGTGGAGGGCTTGGGTGATTCCCACAAGTACAAAAGCCTGGGTGTGGCCAAGCACTAAAACAGAATGAACTGGGTTTCTAGGATAACCTGAAACAGAAGAACCCTGGCCTGTTGACCACCTTGAGCTTTGACCTTGTACTGCATGGTCTCTGTGAGAGCCTAACCAAGAAATCTAGCTTCCTGATTCCGGATCCTCCAGCAGACGAGGCACACCACACTGGAAGGAGAAAGGATGAACATTGAGCACAGGGCATCAGCAAATGCTGAGCGCAAGAGAGGAGCCGGGATAACAGGAAAACGGACGTCGGAGGCGGTCATCTTTAACAGGCCTTGAGGGCATCTGCATCTCACAGGGTGATATTGAAAATATCCTCAGAACAGTGTTTCTGAACCATTAAGAGAAGGTTAAGTTCTTGACCAAACCATTCATGTTCAAAGGAAACCAATGATAGAATTCACTTTAAAACTATTTCCAATCAAAATGGTTAAAATACAACCAATTTTCCAATGCTAAAGGGAGAAGCCTTCAGCATCCTGAAAATTCAGCAATGCAACATGATGCCTTCCTTTCAAAGGTCAAGAGGTCAAGATATGGGTTCTTTGGTAGCTACCTTCCTTCTCGTTAGATTCTCTTTTTTATTTTTTATTTTATTTTATTTTTTTTAACATTTTATTAGGGGCTCATACAACTGTTATCCCAATCCATACACACATCAATTGTGTAAAGCGCATTTGTACATCGTTTCTCAAAACATTTTCTCTCCATTTAAACCCCCGACATTAGGTCCTCATTTTTCCCCTCCCTCCCCGCTCCCCCCTCCCGCATGAGCAGATTCTCTCTTTTAAAAAAAGTACAATTATGTCCTCTTTTTCTTCTTTGTCCTCCTGTCTAACACAGTACCCTGATGCCGTAAGTATTTCTGCATAGATATACTGATTCTGACTCCTAACGACGCTGTCTAGGACAGAGCAGCACTGCGCCGTCGGGTGCCCAAGGCCGTAAGAAACCATGATGGGGAGATTTGGCTCGCATATTTTAGACCTGTTTTCAGCTAGAGACCAGTCCCTGGAAAAGAACAGCCTGCTTGGTAAAGTAGAGGCCAGTGAAAGTGGAAGACCCTCAAGGAGATGGGCCGACTTCCCACCCACTGGCCTGTGATGTTCCTGCATTTGGCGTCATTGCATGTGTTTCATGAGTCTGAAGAGGACTTTATAGATTGATATCGGACATAGGGGCTAATATCAGACTATGGACTTGATCTAGACTGGGCT